TGGCTGAATTACAATTTTCAGGGTCAAGGAGGGACTCCGCTGTGGAGAAGGGGCTGGTTACAACTGTTGTGCTGGTGGGGAAGTATGTGTGTGTTTATGTGTGTGTGTGTGTGTGTGTGTGGGTTGGGGGTTGGGGAACAGAGAGAAAAGGGGAAGGAAGAATCTCACGAGTTGTCTTTAAAAATGAATGAGAAAATGGGTAATCCCAGAGTCGCAGCATGAAAAGAGGGAAAATCAATATGGCCTCTCAGTTCACTGGGGCCCTCACAAGTCCTTGAGATGAACAAAAAGTTGTGCATTTTGTTGCCACATCCATACGTCTCAATAGAGGTGTGTTTTGTGTGTGTGTGTGTGTGTGTGTGTGTGTACAACAAGCCTGTTTGTTCTAGGAGATGTAGCTTTCTGTTTGCAGGGCTGTATGTGCAGTGAAGAGGATGCACACAAGGTTTTTCAGGGCAAGTTTCATAATTTGGATCTTGAGTGAATTATGTAAGTAATTGGGACTAGTCAAAGGGTCTGAGACTTGAACACCTGCCTTTAAATGAACAGATATGGACAAACCAGTATTCTTTCATGTGCTGTGAAAGAAAGAGTGCTTCACTTCAGGCAGAGGGATATAAGAGGACATCATACAGGTTCTGTAACCTTTGGACTCCCGATTCAATTGACCCCACGCACCAGCCTAAAGCAGACTCCCTCGTAAGTATCTAATTCTACTTCTTGGCCTATGTGGAGAAAACTGGCCAGCGAGCTCTGAGATTGGATGCCCTCTCATGAATATTTAATTACCACCAACCATCTGAGGCGGAGGTTTCATGGGGCGGGGTAACAGGCTGCTGGGGGTATTGGAGGGGGTGCACTTTTTTTACCCAGACAATGCAAACACACATTCCTGTCTCGCTCTCATCTAGACACCCTTCCATCCACCTGCATGTCTAGGATGTGATGTTGCTCCTCAGCAAACAAGTGCACACCTTCTCCACCATACATCCATCTATCCATCCATACCCCACTCCACCACCCTTCTTCTCTGTCACGCTAAGCGATGACTCCCCCCCCTCCCCCCCCCTCCCCGTTGATTAGCGAGCTCTTCAGTAGCCTGTCATGGCGGATGTGCTCCATCAAAGCTGATCGTCTCCCCGTTTTTCCAGAAAGATGTCGTGGGTTATCAGTGCGCGCTCAGATCTCCGGCTACGGGAGGAGCGTGACTGGCAGGCCGTCTTTTGAAGACAGTGATTCCTCCACTGATGCCTCCCAGTTGGAAATTTAGAATCGTGTCTGCTAAGACACCATATGCAAAGTAAATTACTGTACAGGGATGAGCTTGAGTAAACCCTCCTCTCTCTGACCGTCCAAGCCACTGAGTGCCTTCCGGGCAGCCTGGCCTCCTTTGCGCTCATCCTCACTTTTCTTCTGATTCGTCCACTCTAAAAGTGGACAGCAGCACATTAAAAACTATACTGTTTTTAACACTTTACACCTCACCTATTACACCTATTTAATATCTTAAATATCTAATTGGTCACACTGTGCAGTTATTTACAAACAATAAACCACAGCTAGGAATTTAATTCAAAGGGCAAAGGACTGATAAATAAACAAATAAATGAATGTAAGCAAAAGCTTCTGCCGCTATACAACAGCTCCATTTTCTCCAACTGCCCATTATCATGCAAATGACATTGCTGGTTACAACTGTATGTCTTTGTAGTGGTAAAGTGTTAATTTCAGTTCAAAGGCTGCCGCAGTATTCTACAGGGAGTGAGATAGAAGGTAAGATGGAGGGGGGAGGGGGGGGGGTGTCTTGAGTGGTTTAGCCTGGCTCAGCCTGGCTCTGACCCAGCTCTTTGTGTTTCTATTGTCTCTCCGGCAAAACAGCATTAGAGCGTCTTCTGCACACGGCTAGCTGTGCCTTGAAAATCAAAAAGAAGGCAGACAGCGCTGCTATAGGTTTAAAAAATGTCAGCTCCTGGCTTTACCACCTTATTTTTTCCCGAGGAATCATACAGATTCTTCCCTGAGTGTTTGTGTGTTGAATGATGGCGCATGGCGGCTAGAGGAGGGAAGTGCAAGTTATGACGCAGCATCTTGGTTCCCGAGATTCAGGACTGCTTTAATGACAGATGACGACACTGACAGAGATCACAAAAGTCATCTTTATAGTTTTAGGAGAAGTCCAAAGTCTTGATTGGTTATACTGAAGGGATAAGATAAATTGAAGCGGTCAGGGAAAAACGAGTCACGGACACAACCATACAATTCAGCATAACCTTCAACACTAAGCACTCCGGCTCCATCACAACCCCAGGGGGACACATCCTGCTAGCACATGCACATAAACATCCATGTATGTATGACTGCAACCCTCATGACTTCCTCATATAATGGGGGGCATTGTCATTTCTTTGTGAGCGCAAACACCATTAAAATGGACGACAGCTCTGACGAAAGAAAAGACAGATAAAGGGCCGAGGAGAGAAAGAAAGCCATTCTGCTAGGACTGGTGGCATGTACAAAAAGAGAACATGGCTCCTCTTCTAACAGCCGTACACTAGAGCGTGTGTGTCTTTTTATTGGGGAGCGTCCACCATACGTGGGACAGTGTTTGTGCGCTGTTGTGTGTGCGCTGAATCAAACAGTAGAAGATTCATTGTAGTTCTCAAACAGTGCCATTGTGGGTTTTTCTTGGGTAGCTGTTGTTGAGGGCCCCTTTAATGTGTGTGTGTGGCAGGGGGTGCCAGCATCATGGACACTCCTGGAGATGAAGCGCCCACCCTCCCGTCGTGATCCCACCACTGGAGCTGTTTATCCCATTTAAGTCCCGCCCTTCGTCGGGGGACAGACAGCTCAAACGATGCTTGTCACAATCCCTCGTCGTCTTAAATGGCTGACAAACATCAGGCTTTTTGCAATGGTGGTGCATCACAGAGGTTCCTTGTTGAGGAACCGTCTTTTTTTTTGTACCTTTATGTAAACCTACTAGAAAAGACGTGGGAGAACTGAACTGAGCTTGGCACAAGGGATGTTAGCGAGAGAGTCTGACGCAAGACGGTGGTGTAAAAAATTATAATTTCCGCTGATGAAATAAGACACCAAAACCACTGCTATGTGATCACTCGTGTTGTCATTACTGTACCAAGCCAGGCACAGCGGAGCGAGGATCTAAATGTGATTCGAGTGAAGATGTTCCCGCTCTCACAGGACAGCCGGGCTGAGGACGTGGTTGGTGTAGAAAATGAACAGGGACACCCAAAGACTCGAGCCTTTCTCTGGCAAACAGGAGAAGGCAGGGAGAGCTTCAAAATCACTTTTCAGACATCAAATAATTAATTGCTCTCCCCTCTTGCTTGCTTCCCCCCTTTTCTCTCCTGGTGTCTGTATGGAAGACACAGCTCCAGTCACTTAAGGAGGGTTAACACCCGTCTAAATTAAATATTAAAAGGTGTCTGTACCTGCTGCTATTGTTGCCCCTTGGAATAAGATATAACCTATTTTTGACAAGTTTTCATCCTCAGCCTTCTGCGGTGAGACGCTTGTCGAAAACCAAATCAGCGAATGGGGGGAGTGGTGCTGGGGAGCGGGGGGCACTGATGAATAATCTAGTTCATATTCCAAAGACACCAACCGCTCAGAGGGAGAGAAAGAAAGGGATGAAGAGAGGGAGAGAGATGAGGCAGGTGGAGAATGAGAGATGGACAGAGGAGGGGAAGATAAAAGCTGGGGGGAAAGTGAGGGATGAGTGAAGAGGAGAAAAGAAGAAAAAGAGGGGGAAAAAGGGAGGAGTGGCAGATGATAGCCGACGTCTGCCAAGGTATCACATGACAGTGCTCCTGTTTAAATTATAAAACAGGATGGGGGCTCTAAACAAATCGTTATCTTCCCACCTCCATACATCCTTGCCTTCACTCTGCCCCTCCCTCCCTTTACCCGCTTTTAAAAACTTGTTTTAATGCCATTTCTTAATGAACATAATAGCTCTGCGCTAATAATGAAAAGAAAATAAAAACATCTAAAAACGCGGAGGGGCCCCTGAGTTGTCGCCGGCGCTCAATTATTTCCTTGTCAAGTGGGTCTGTTTTTAATGAGGCCCTGTGGGACTGACGTCTGTCAGTCAGCCCTGACTTTTTGACACCATTACAACTTCAAATAGAAGCCGCCGCCACGCTGCCTTCCACCGCTCACTCGCTAGCTACTGCTCCGCTCATCTGACAGGCTGGGAGGGAGGGAAGGAGGGAGGGGAGGACAGGGAGGGGAAGAAAAGGTGGCAGGAGAGGTAGAGTGAAGGGAGGGGGCAAGAGGGATGGGGAGGGAGAGAAAGACAGATAGAAAGAGAGAGGAAGAGAAGAGAGCACATTGGCACATAGGTAGGCGCGCACACGCACGCACGCACGCACGCACACCACTAGGTCAAAAAACAATCACTGAGGGTCATTACCAGATGAGGTTTGTCATACTGCCAGGGATTTCACCCCCCTCTCCCCCACCTCCATGCTTCCTTGTTCACTTCCTTCCATCTCCCTCTTTTTTCTTACTTCCTTTTTTCATTATTCCTTTACTTTAATGATAAGTCTTGGTGGGTCGGCCCCGCATGGGACGGTCAGAGGCACACTATTTTGTTGGCCATTAATTTGAGGCTTTGAAGCAGACGGCGGCGCTGCGGCTGGTGAGGGCCTGTGAAATGGTGGTCGGTAGGAGTGTGTGTGTGTGTGTGTGTGTGTGTGTGGGGGGGGGGTTGGAGGCTCACCACCTCGACACCCCCGCATATTTGAAAATGAAGAGCATGGCCCTGAAACAGAATAGCAAATGTCCTCGCCGGGAACCACCACAACGAACACAGGAGACACATGCGCACTGCAATGCTGCACCCGTGTGTGTATGTGTGTTTTGTGGCGTGCACATCATCACCTTCAAGTTTTGAAAATTCTCCAAATGTGCTCTTAAATTTAGATTTTCCAAGACCCCCTGAAGAATGGCTTTCCCCAGACGCATTAAAACAGCAGTAAACTCACGCACACATTTTTTTTCAAACACCTGCAGATGTATCACATCATCAATCAGCGTACAGATAAACACAGAAACAAGAACTGCATCACAATCTTCAGAACTTGACAAGAAAAATATAGAACAAAAAGTACAAGTTCTAAAACAAGTTAGATCCATTTAAAAGAACAGAAGAAGAAGAAAAAAAAACTTTAAGACACAAAACTTGAAATCTACACATTTCAGTTGGTCCTGGTGTACAGTCTGCATTTTAGTCTAATCACTGAACGAGAACAAGAAAAAAAATAACATGTTGCTAATGTTAATTTTGAATACACCTTAACTTCATAAAATAAACAGTTCTTGTACAGAAACTTTAATTCAAAACTCATTTATGCATTTATAAATAAATAGTAACAGAATCACTTGTATTGAGAGCAAAACACTATACATTATGTAGTTTTAAATGTTAGTACATACAGTATGATGTCTATACTTTTCCACAATGGTAGTTATGCTAAATGTCCATGGGAATGAATTGTGGAAATCTGTGTTTGGGAGGTGCAGGGGAATTTTACCAAATGTGTATAATAAAGATGGTTATGATGTCTGAACCTTTCTCTGTATTTTAGTATGTATTGTATATGCCAAGGTTGGGGTCAGTTCCATTTTGTATTAAAAACATATTGAAAGAGTATGTTTTATTTTATCTTTTCAATCTCCAAATTCTATTAAAATGTTCATATATCCTTTCCTGAACACAGTAATTGAAACTAAACAGTTTCCTCTTTATAAAAACAAACAAAACTTTCACCTTGATCGACTACACTTAAGTTGAACTGACCTCAACCTTTTTATGTGCATCCTCTTTCTAAGGCAGCGCCACTTGTCTATTTTGGGCTCTGTTGAACTTTTTAAAGATGTTGTGAACAGCATTTCTTATCTGAAGGCACTGTCCTCTGTGATGTGTAGGGGCTACATGAAGATCAGCTGAATCATTTAGTTACAGAAGCTCATACATACTGCAGTTTGTGTGTCTACTGTTGATGTTAATAACAAACACCGTGCGGGCCCTCAACCCATGACTGTCACTCATGCACATGTGAACATGCATACATGTGCACAACACTCGTATCTCTTCTTCTCTGTCACTCATGCATGCACACACACATCCTGAATAACACTTGACCTACCTCCATCACAGAAAAAAAAATCTACATATCTGCTTTGAGTTGGGGAAAAAATCCCCAGGCCTTGTTCACCTGGGGACAGGATGGGCTGCAAAACCACACCGAGGACGATACCATGAAAAATATTAACTATCATAAAACATCTCCCCTCTATTCTTGTCCCTGGAGATGTAAGAGTGAGCCGAGCAGAGAGAGGACAGGACTGAGTGGAGAAAAGAAAGAAAGAAAGAGAAGCGCAGAGTGGAAACAAAAGGTACAGAGAGGGAAAGAAAGGGAGAAAGAAACAGGAAAGGAGAAAGAGCTGGAAAAAAGCTCCCTGTCAGGCTTTGGAAACAGTGATTCATGGGGACCATTTGTCCAAATTACAGCAGAACAACGCTTTTGTCGCTATTAATCACACGTGTGTGTGTGTGTGTATTTGTATTTGTGTCGGGGAGGTGGGGGGCGAGTGTATATGTGTGTAGAGGGGAGATCAGTGGCCCCGCATATTGAAATAGATGGCCAGGATTATGGTGAGAAGGATGATGGCTCCGAGGATGAAGACCAGGACGCGATTCTGGATGATCCTGCAGAGAGAGAGAGAGAGAGAGAGAGAGAGTGTCATATTATGTCTACAGAGAAAAGTTAAAAACACGTAAACCAGTCACATGTTTATGCCCAAACTAAATGACCGGCCATCAACTGGAGGCTTATCATGCTTAATAGCTACCATGAGGTCTGTATACATTGTATTTACTGCTATACAATCGCTGGCAAGGAGTGTAAAACACACAAACATACAAAATTTCCAAAACTGCCACACTTTTGTGCAAAGATCCTGTCTGAAACTTCTGAGTTATTGAGGTATGAATTATTTCTGACTTGCATACACATAGTGTAAAAATTTCATACTGACGTGTGTACACATACGAACAGAGCAAAAACACTAATGAACAAGCGTGACACACAAACATGCACACACAGGCTCTAAAAATTTATTTGCACGATAAAGTGGAAAAAGTGGCTCAGTAGTTTCCTGGAGGTAATAAAATCACTGAATTACCGATGGAATTTGCCATAAAACGACTCACTCTTTTGCACAGTTAAACGTTCCCACTGTGACCTAAGTAAACTTGACAAGAGGGGGCTTTGAATGAAAAAACAAAACAAAACACAAAGCTGCAAAAAGAGAAAAAGAGGGTTGGAGAGAGGGAATGGGTGTTGGTGTGCGGAGGCGTTGCAGGCCTTTAGAGAGAGTGTGAGCAACTCATCTCGTGTGTGTGCGAGTTTGCATCAGCACACACGGACGGACACAGACAAACACACACTCCGAACCGTTCGCTGCTCCTGACAAATGAGAGAATTATCACATTTGCTGACATGTGGAGGGGTGGAGGAGAGGCCAAGGAGGGGGGCACTGTCCACTTCTCTAAGCAGGAGATGAATAGCCCATGCTGTGGCCATTTATCACTGGGTTGGGGGAGGGAGTGGGCGGGGGGGGGGGGGGGGGGTGCGCTGGTTGCTCAGTCACCCCTCTACCCTCTAAAGCCCTAGTCTCAGCCCGACACATCAGCCGAGCTCACAGCCTCCTCCAGTCCACCAGCTCGGACCTGCAGTAGCCTCAACTAGCCACTTAGTTTAAAACCCACAGCTGCAGAAGAAAGGACGACAGAAATATTACACCATACAGTGTTGTTATGTATCACAGTAGTGCTTTTCATGCTTACGTCTTTGTATTTCCTTGGTGTATATTTTTCGCAAGTGACAACCCTTTGCACAAAGGACCCTCCAGCCACATACAAAACATGTTTATACCCACTGCTCTATATCGGTTACAGAGGATACTGTTATAAAACCTTCTTTTCAGGAACAAGACACATTGTCTTTTCATTGACTTACTGTGATGCTCTCACTGGATAACACCAGAAAGCTCATTACAACTACTGCTTGTAAGCAGCACTGCTTTATAAGTAGACTGTTTATCCTTGAATATCTGCATACATTATCATGGCAGTGTCATACTGTATACAGTAAACCATGTTTTGTGCAGCACAAGTAACAGTTATGGTATATTTGAGGTGCTACAGGTCCTGTCTTAAACTTTGCTGAGGTTTCACCCTAGTAATAAAGATAAAAACATCATATGCCCACATATCTATGTTGTGGTAAGAGTTGAAACAGTATTAGTGATGCTATGATAAGCCTGATTCTGGATGAGGCTTAAATGATTGGCTGAAGCCAGCTGGGGAGGAGATCCCACTGAAACACTAATCAGAGCATGCTTAGCAAGGCCACGTCTCCGCCTATTAATTGACATTCATTATTTAGAATGATCCTTTATCCTAGCCAAATACCCAGATGAGGTGCTTGTGTGTTATGTGTGTCTCCATGTGTTGGGAGAATCCAGATTGCTTTGTGTTGTTTGTTACTTTTTCAGCTGGGGAGAAGAGGGGAGGGTGACTTGAGGCCCGGGGGTGGAAAAATGAACAGGAAGTTAGTTTTAGCCTCATGCTCAAGGAGCCCGGGTACTAGGAAAGAGAAAAGGGGGGTTCAATTCTGTAAAAAAAAAAATTGCATTCATTAAAAAGGAGTCTGATTTGGTAGCAAACAACGCTGAATAACTTCAAACACTAAAATGTTCAAAGCTGTGAGGAATGTGACAGTGCCGCGATTCAAGAACTTCTTCTCAGGGGACGGATATTTAAAAAATACTTACTTTGACCTAAACTGATTCTCTGTACACCAATCTCACAAAACACATCTTGAAGTCTAATGTAAAGTAGCTGATCAACTCAAACACTTAAACAGAAGCTTGATACAAATTTAGCACTGCCCAGTCAAAAACTTTTAGCTGCTGAAAGAGAAACAATATTAAAGGTTAAATTCAATCTGGCTTCAACTCAAACTCTAAGCATGCCTTTTCACTTTTCTAGCCTTGTGTTTTAATCCACTGTAAGCAACAAAATGTGACAGCAATACCAGTAATCATAACCTCCCATGTCTCTCTTCTAATGCTTGCAGTAATTCAAACGAAACTACAAGAATGCGCAAAGGTTATGAACTAAGGGACCTGCAGGCACACACACACATAGACACATACAGACCCAGCCAGACAGAGTGGGAGGAGCTACATGTAGGGTGGGGGGGGGGGGGGGGGGGGGGGGCAATGAGCAATGTTGAAATCCATCTGAAAAATAGTGTCTGTGACAGTGTAAAGAACCACAGTCTTTTCCTCTGACAGCTTGAGGAGCGAGGATATTAATGTCATCACTCTCCTTTCTCCACCACAGAGGTGAGAAGGCTAGAAAGTCACTTCTTATGTTATGTTATAAGGTGGGCAGGACATTTTTCTTTTTCTATTAGAATCACAATCACACAAAGATATACAAATCAATATTTAATCTCCAACAGAACACAACTGACAAATAATAAAGTTATTTTGCTCATTGCCATTTAATCTTTTTCCATTTGGTCACTCGTAACAACTGGTGTCTATAAAAAGAAAAGAAATTCCCTGCAGACAGATCACTTTCAATCCACTGGACTGCTCATCTAAATACTGTCACTTGCAGATTTAATCTACAGATTTGTGTTCTGCAACGAGCAAAGCACTTTGCTATGAGCTTGCTAGTCAAATGAGCTTACACAGCAAAAGTCTTTTTAGTTTCCATTTAAATTCCTCAGGCAACAGAAGCAACTAAAATAAAACTTACCCACTTACACCCCCCCCCATCCCCCCAAAAAAGAAATAAAAAAATCCCCAAAATTGGGAGGAGAGTGAAGAACATGATTTTCCTCTGCCGTATGGTTGATCCCGTCCTGACACGTGGCCAGACAGAACAGAATTTATCAAACCGGATCCATCCTCTAGCTTTGACACTTGACATAGAGGTGGGGGGGGGTGAGGTGTGTGTGTGTGTGTGTGTGTGTGTGTGTGTGGAGGGGAAGGTTTGGGAATGTGTGAGTGATGCACACAGCGCACGTACAAGGGTGCAGACGTACATGTTGACCCACATATACACACTCCTACACACCAAGTTTGAGTTTGACTTATCTTTACCGTGCTCCCTACTATGATACTATGATCCCAAGAATTGGGATCTCCAGGAAAGAAAAAAACATATGTAGACAGACCAACAGTAATTGTAACTGAGATGCCAGCCAATAGCAGCAAATAATACTGGTCGTTCTATTGGCTCCTGATGTTCCTTCATCGCATGGAGCCAGTCAGCTAACACCTTACTAGACGGAAATACACAGATACACAGCACTAATGTTAGAGAGAGAGAGAGAGAGTCAAAATGATGAGTGCAACGAAGAGCAAAAAATAAAGCAAGCAGGATGGACGGAAACGGACAATAAAGCAGCTGAGAGTGAAAAACAAGAGAGTGGAGAGAGAAATAGAGAGGTGGAGAGAAACAGGCAGAGTGAGATAAGAAAGACAGAGAGAGAGAGAGCGAGAGAAAGAGAGAGAAGTCCGTTTACCCGGGGAGGCAGAGCTGGAGGAGAGGCTCCTCGGAGACAGATGAAAATAATGAGGACTTTTCTGTCAGGAAAGATTTACAAAATCGTACCAGTGTTATTAAAATTTAAAATCTCCCGTTTTTTTTTCTTTTTTTCCCTTCCCACCCTCTTCCTCCCTCCCTCTTTTCCTTTCCCTGTTTTTTCCCTCCTCTTCCAGCAGCACAGCCTTATTACCAGCTCTAATGAGCACCAGGATACACCTCAGCTGTGTGTGTGCGTGTGTGTGAGTGTGTGTGTGTTGGGGTCCAGGTCCCTCGTGCCAGCTCCATCAGCGCCCCAGATTCCCCAGTCCCTTCAATGACACACACATATGTGTGCGGCCACACAAAACACACAAGGGTGGGCACACAAATACACGCTGACAGATGTGTACACAGACACACACAGACACACAGACGTTTTGATGGTTCTCAGAGGTGGCTGGACATGCACACACACATATACACACCTCTCAGACAGACAGATAAAAGCCCCTATCCCCAAAACAAAAACAGTCTCAGTCAGACAGACATAAGCAGATAGGCCCAACCCACCTTACAGTACACACACACATAAACACACACCGTCTCCACTAAGAACAAGCTCAGAGTTGCATCTCTCAGGCCCTCCCCTATCCCTCCTCTTTCCACTAGTAGACCAATAAAATAAAAATCAATGGCTGTCTGAGCCATTCTGGCTCTCCTCCCTACAAACCCTGGGAATATACAGCATGGGAGAGGAGAGGGGGGTATGGTGGGGGAGGAGGGAGGGGAGGATCAATGTGTTCACAAATGGTTTGAGTGATGGACATGGAGGTGGAACGCTGGTAGGGTTAAGTCCTAACTAATGCATCGACTTGTTATCGCAAACTAATACAAATTTATGTTTCATTGTAGAGGCACATGTGCACACACACACACAGGTCTGGGGCTCCCACAAAAACCTGCCAGAGAAACACGCGCATGACAAAACAAAAGGTGGAGATGGGCCTGCTATCAATCTAGTTTGAGTGAAGACAGAAAAAACGCTTCAACCTTGTGAATGAAATGAGGAAGAATGAGGTAGAACGATCCAGAACAGTCGG